TTAGGCACTGATCTAAGAATCAAGAAACTTGGATACAAATCTGAACTCTAACTACCCACAAGGCTTTGCGTCACTTTTTATCTGCAAAATGAGAAGATGGAAGATGGTCTTTCAGGTCCTTTAGAGCAATGACCTTGTTTGGCTAAAGGAACCATCTTCGCCATGGTCCTAAACTCAGTACCTCATCATTAGACAAGGAGAATGTGCATGGGAGTAGCATGACTCAAAGATATTTACTTTCTCACCATTTTTTTAGGTAAAATTTACATAACATAAAATAAACCATTTGAAAGGATACAATTCAGTGACATTTAGTACATTCACAATGTTGTGCAACCGAGTTCCAAAACATTTGCATCGCCCCCAAAGAAAACGCAATAACCATTAGTCAGTCAGTTTCCATTTCGTCCCTTCCTCCCGCCCTTGGCAACCACCATCTGCTTTCTGACTTTATGGATTTACCTATTCTGGATACTTCATATAAATGGAATCATAGAAAACATAACCTTTTGTAATTGGCTTTTTTCATTTAGCATGTTTTTAAGGTTCATCAATGTTATAGCATGTATTAGTACCTCATTCCTTTATATGATTATGTGATATCCCACTACATGTACATAGCCCAATCTGCTCATGTAGTCATCTGGTAAGGAATGTTTTGGTTGTTAAAAACATTTTTTTTAAAAAAGATTATTTATTTCTTTCATGATGAGAGACAGAGAGAATGGGAGACATACACACCCAACAACTTTTTGTGCCATAATCCATCCTCAGTCTCATCTAGCCCTGGTCACTGGCAGACATACATGCACACCTCCTGCATGATCATAGAGGTCCCCGTACATGAATCAGGACTCCCCCCATATCAGTGCAGTTACACGACTACTGTGCCACCTCCTGGCCCCTGTAGCCACTCCCTTCTTTTAAAAAAAATTATATTTATTCATCTTAAAGTGTGTATACATGAGAGAGAGGAATCACCCCTGCCAGTGGGGCTGGGCACCCCACAGTCCTCTACATCTCCAACTCATCAAGATCCCATGCATGAGCACATCCAGTGCACAGCCAGCAGGACTGGGACTTGAAGCCCAGCTGACCACGAGGGATCTGGCTTCCTCTGCACGGCACTCAACTGCTGCAGCTCCACTGCCACTTTTAATCACCCATTATCACTAATGGTTCCTGTACAGCTATTTGTGGGTTTTGTTTCTCTTATTTTTAAATAAAAGACCTCTGAGACCTTTCAGTGATCAGTTAACAGTCAAGGGTCCATATTCTATCAGGACCTTATTTTTATTTATTTATTTGTTTGTTTGTTTGTTTATTTATTTATTTTAGAGAGGTTTCTGCTATAGGGTGTGTGAACTTGCCAGAAAGCAATAAATCACCCCCTGGGAGGATAGCCAGGCCTCCCCTTCTCCTCTGTTCTCCTCTTAGGATTATGGGTGGGTATGCACACACACGCGTCCAGCATGAATTTAAAGCCATTGGGTCCGGGACTCAAACTGCAGTGAACTATGTGGGAGTCCAGCAACGTAACCATTACGTCATCTGCTGGTCCCCCATCAGGGCCTTATTTCTAAAGACAATATTTGGTAAAACAGCATCCTACATGACCCAAATACACTGACCTTATAACCGGCAAGTGATGGTACAGTCGCTAACAAAAACCAGGAATGCTTGCACTAGAGAAGTTAAGTAACACTTTTTTTTTTTTTTTTGAGTCTTTGCTGTAGGGCACATGCACTTGCCAGAGAGACAGAGAGACAGAAAGTGAGAAATCATCACGCAGGGGGGATGGTCACGCCGCAATCCCTTCTCCTCCATTCTCCTCTCGGAATCCTGGGCACGCATGCACATGCGCCCGGCATGAGTTTAAGCCACCAGGTCCAGGACTCAAACTGCGGTCAACTACGTGGGGGTCCAGAGACATAGCCATTACACCAACTGCTGGTCCCAGAGAAGTTATATAACACTTAAACAATGTCTGAGATAGTGATGAAAGGAAGTTGAATGATTCTGTTATTTATTAAAAGAAATGAAGCAATATATTGAAAAATCAAAATACTTGTTTTTACCTATTGATGGAATGCTGACATTTACCTACACAAGCCTAGTGATGTTTCCGGCTTTGCTATATCAGCCTTACAATACCAGCCTTACAGAGGTTTTTGTCTGTTTATTTATTTGCTTGTTTTTGAGAGAGAGAGAGAGCTTTTTTGCTGTAGGGTGCATGCACTCACCAGAGACAGAGAAAGTGAAAAATCACTCACAAGGGAGGATGGCTATGCCACAATTCCTTCTCCTCCATTCTCTTGTGATTTTGGGCACACATGCACACACACCTGGCATGAGTTTCAACCTTCGGAGTCCAGTACTAGAAATATAGTGTCAAGTAGGAGTCCATTGCCTTAACCACTACGCCACCTGCTGGCCACACCTTAGGGCTTTCCAACAGAAGCTAAGAACCCTTGTTCTGAAGACCTTAGATATACACTCTTAAATGATGTATGAGATAATAATAGAAATAAGATGAAAGAGAAAGAATCTTTTAATTATTAAAAGAAACTAAATACACTAAATGCATTGTAAATATCCTGACTTCATAATCTGCAAGTGACAATGTACACACACACACACACACACACACACACAAAGAAATATGTTCCCAAGAAGGAGAAAAAGAATGGCTCAGTGAACACTTTGGAGGGCAGATGATGTGGTCTGTCATATTAAGAGAGAACTCTGATCAAGTCAATAAGGTGGCAGAAGTGGTCCCTCTTCATGGCACTACCCTGCTCCCAAGAGTGAGCCATTATGAAAGGTGCCAAAGGGCCTTCTACTGTCTTGTCTTCTGACTAGTCACTCAGTCATACCAATAGCATGAAGACCTCTGTCCTAGCTGGATAACCAAGCCCCAAAGAGAGTGTGATTCCACGTCATAACTATGCAGCCCACTGAGCTGACCGATTTGGAAGTAAAGAAAGCCCATGACCCCTTAGTAGGGTATTCAAATGTAAGGATGTTGTTATCACTTGCGTTGTGATACTTTCTTCCTCTTGCTTAGATTCTGCTGCTGCACATGATGAATCCTGTCCCTGACACTGCCTCACCCCAAAAGTTGTGTCTACACCCCACTGAGGGAAGTGGAGATCTGGCAATGATCCAGTTCATTTGATCAACATAGCTGGCGGAACCAGATAATTTAAGCTCCAAATTTCCCCATTAATCAAAATAGTCTGATGACGGATACATCTGCTTTTACTTTGGGTTGTGTAGACACAGTCTAATTGTGCATTTCCTAAAAACAGAATTGTATCATCTGTAACATTCATAGAGCTCTTCCTGCCCACATTTCTTTCCCAGCCTGTTGACTGAACAGATAACTCAGTAATTAAAATTCATAATCAACACATGTTGAGTATTTTTCCTCTTTCTTCTGTTTTTACAATCTTTTCCCCTAACTTCTGGGTGATTTGCCAACTGTTCCACTTCTTCGGAGTAAATACTAGAGGCTATCTTTGCACAAGGCCAGTACACTGGCATCTTGCTATATATATTTGTTATTATATATTTTATTTATTATATATTTTATTTATACATTATTCATTATAAAGAATGAGTGCATGAGAGAGAGAGGAAGAAAGAGACAGGGTCTCATCATGCTGCAATTCCCCTTCCCGAGTCCTCCAGCCTGTCAGGATCTTGGGCACAGGCACAGGTGCCCAGGGTGTTTTCAGGCCAACCTGAGGAACCGAACCTGCAGTTGGACATATGGCTTCCAGCACTGCCGCACAGCTTGCTGCGGATTGCACCACAAGCCTGGGCTACACAGAGATCTTTCTTTTCTTTCCCACCCCCCCCACCCCCAAACTCCCTGCCCTTTTTTTTTTCTTTTTTTTTTTTTCAGGTTTTAGTCAAAGGGAGTATGTGCTTACCAGAGGGAGACAAAGAGAGAAAAAGTGAGAAATCATGCCTCCAAAGGGGTAGCCATGCCACAATCCCTTCTCCTCCCTTCTCCTCTCAGGATTTTGGGCACGCATTCATGTGCACCTGGCATGATTTTCAAGCTGCTGGGTCTACCGTTCAAACCGGAGCCCAGTGCTTTAACCACCACACCACATGGGAGCCCAGTGCTTTAACCACCACAGCACCTACTGACCCCCATAGGCATCTTTCTTGATCTTGTCCCCTTTTCTCCAGCCTCAATCTCAACCCTCATCATCTCTGGAGGCAAGAACTATACAAGCCTTGACAATTCTGGCTGTACCTCAAAGGCCAGTTGGAGAATAATACAGCTGGGTTTACAGCTATGATCTCCCACCTTGGAAGGTCTGTGAGTCCTAGACAAACTGCCATTAGGCTTAGGCTGCCAGAAGAGACCCTGCCCACAGAGACCCTCTGTTGAGTACATGGGAGGATAGATGGGTGGGCTGGTAGGTAGCTAAGGTTACAGATAACAGGACAGTAAAAGTGTTCTTTGTAAAATGTTCACCTGGCAACATGAAACAGACACATTCTGAAAAGGAAGGCCAAGTGCTTGACCTTAACCTACGAGGGTCATGCTCAGCTTTAGAGAGTGCCAAAGATCACGTGGCTTCTAAAGCAAACCTGAACCAAGATCATCACCAATGTTCTTAACTGGCGATGGATCCCTGGGTCGGTTCTTTTGGAGACCTTGCATACCTCCCTTCAGTCTGCTGCAAACTTCTTTTCTTCTGAGTACTTGGAAAAGCCTTTCCTGGATGTAAATCCCCTTCCTTCTCCTCCCCTTTCTTCCTATTACACTGTCTTACCAACACAGCCACGACCAAAGTCTACAGTGACTGAGCTATCCAGCCCCTTTCGATGCCCTGCAGCCTTGCTTGAGGCCAAAGGGACTTCGGGGGTTGGAGAGGCTGCTGGTTCTTTAAAATTTAAAGCATCAAGATTCAAAAGCTGTTGCATAACCCAATTAGAGAGCCACTTTTAACTGGCTTGTGCATTTCTTCCAGACTCACCTTCATCAGAGCACAGAAATGAAGATGCTCCTCACAGTTCCAGAAATCTGTGAAGCTGAGATGGTATTTTTAACGCAATCATTTTAAACAATGTCTGTGCTGAACCACTTTAGCTTTTGCTGTTGGTGCAGGTGAGGAGTTGCCTAACAGCTGAGCTCCGGATTCGACATGTGTGGCCCAGGATGGGCCTGGGATTTTTCAAAGGGTAACGTTTTTACACGTGGAAAAACTCTCAAGGGTTTTCAGTCGTCCTGGCTCGGTATAGTTCCTTCATGTGTATTTCATAGACAAACAAGAGGAATCTAACAAGGGAAATTCTATCACCTTATCTGTTTCATCCTTCTTCCCATCTGGAAAACACACACAGGCACCTGAGAAATTCACTTTCTTCTTGAACTCCAAAAAACTTTAGTGATTGTATGTGGAATTTTTTCCTTAGAGTGCTCAGAAGACCTCTGTGAGTTTCTCAATCCTTGGGGAATGTGAGGCCACTTGACCCTGTGGCCTCCTTACTGCAATCAGAACCTGACCGAGAAGCAGTACAATTTCCTGAAGTTGCAAGATAAATAGGAGCTGACTTCCAAGCATGTGGAAAGCCAGGTGTCAGGGTCGCGTGGGCTGCATGGAAGCGCATGTACAGTGCCCTGTGGCCACACTGCAGGACAGCCTGTGATTGGTCAGGACAACACAGCCTCAAGCAGGACCACCTGGTGAAGTTGGTTGCTTTCCACCCACAGCAGCCTGAGGAGTTCTATCATCCCAGTGTCCACAGAGGCCTGCACAGCCCCTCATAAGCTTTGCAAAGCTAGGTCCCTCAAACTGGATGGCTCTATAAACAGGAAAACTGAGGGGCAGATGGTAGCACAGCAGTAACACAACTTGAATGTCTTGGATTCGTGTCCCCAGACCTCCCTGAGCGTACCATATGCATGCCCCTAATCCAGGCTAGCCGAGACTGGGAGTGAATTGCAGCCTGAAGACGCCAATGGGGTGTCTATATCCCTCTATCTTTCTCCCTTTCATAGGAAAAAGTAAATAAATAAACTTAAAAATAGAAAACTTTGGTCCTCCAAAAGAACTCAAAAGACCTCAGTTCTCATAAATCTTGAAACCAGCGAAGATTGACTCTGATGCTCAGAGACAAAATCCTGTCACAGAACGATCATCTCTCTCATCTATTCTCCTGCACACCCATTTATCTTTCCAGAAGTCATTTGTTTTCCCATAAGTGCCCTTTCTCTTTCTCTCATTGCCATATTCAAATGGCATATAACCCCAACTTTTAATCATCTCCTTAAGACCATTTTCTTTTCCTGAACTCCCATACTTAAATGATTAAATCTGCCTCTTCTCTCACTAATCTGTCTCTTGTCAATTTAATTCATAGGTCTCCAGTCACTGAACCTAGAAAGATAAAGGAAGTGTTTCCTCTTTACAATAGGGTGGGAGGATGGGAGATGCTAGGTGTCTTCTTCTTACCCTCCAGACCCTCTCTACCCTCTACCCTCTGCTCCGCTTTAGGAGACTTGCCCTTGGGGATGCTTCAATGGGCTCCCTTTTCCTCTGGTTTCCAGCTGGGTTTAATCAATGGGAAGGATTGGCAAGAGCTCAGAGAAAAACGAATGAAGTCTTTGTATTTATTCTTCAGTTTCCCTCACCCCTGTGAGGTAACCATGGGCTGTGCTCCTTAATGGGAAGTCTCAGCTCCTGCAAGGGAGTCCTCTTTACACAGCTTCTCTGGTCCAGGTTCTGGTCATTGCGCCTCTGATCCCTTCTGGCCTAGGGGTGGTAGAGTTGTAAATAGCTCCCAGGTACAACAGTACCTCTTGAAATATTCCCATACTCTGGGGCCAGCAGGTGGCATGGTAGTTAAAGTGTTGGCCTGCCACATGGCCAACCAATGTTCAAGTCTCAGACCTGGCAGCATGAAAATTCCAGGCAAGTGTGCATGTGTGCCCAAAATACGGAGAGGGAAATAGAGCAAAGGGGATTACAGCATGGCCACCCCCCCCCCCCCCGTCCCTTTCACTGTCTCTCTCCTACAAGCATACATGCTCCATGGCAAAAACAATAGGGGAAAAAAAAAAGGAAAGAAATATTCCCATATTCTCCTCCTCCTTTGTAAATAGTCCCATATAAAACTCCTTTGAATGGGCCAATCTGCCTTCAAATGGCTCTATGTTGCCAGAACCCTCACTGGGAAGAGAGAACAACAGGGACCTTGATGCAGTCTCATTACCTTTGCATATGACCCCCATTTCCAAGGAATCATTGCCTCCTACTTGCTCCGAGCTCTCCCTTCTAATTTGGCTGCCAGATCTCAGCTGACTTGCTTGTCTTCCTTGTGGCCTGAAAGCTTAATGCTGTTCTTGCCACTTAGCCCATTGAGCTTGTGTTTGTTACCAAGAGGAGATAATAACGAGGTAGCACCACCAACATTCCAGCACTCTCAAGTAAAGAACAAGCTCATCTCCTCATGTACCTCTTTCCAGAGAAAGGTGATAGTCTTTCCAGGGCTGGGTGAAAAGGCAGCTGAGAAGTAATATCCACTGTGGACTAAAAGGGTGCAAAAATGACTTTACCTCTAGGCCCAGGACAAAGCCTCACCTCCTTAGCTGTCTCCCTTCAGGAAGTAAGTCCCCACGCATTGGAGAGCTTGTTTGGAGGTTCCAGCAGGGGAGCGCAGCTACTCATATACCCTTGACGGAAGGGCAGTCCTCCTCTATCTGGGATGGTCATCATCTTGGACCAAGCGTGCAGCTTTGGGAGGGATAAACTGAACTCGCCCACACATGGAGCAGTAAGAGAGGAAGGAGACACCTCTGTAGCCAGCCAGATCAACTAAATCAACCCTGGAGATCAATGGGATGACAGATACCACAGCCAGATCGCCCTCACATCCGTCCCCACCCATTTGAACACTCCCTTTAGAGGTCAGAAAAAAGGCTTTATCTTCTCTCTCTCTCTCTCTCTCTCTCTCTCTCTCTCTCTCTCTCTCTCTCGGCTATAGGGCGCATGTGCTCAACCGAAAGACAGAGAGACAGAGAGACAGAAAGCGAGAAATCACCCCCCAGGGGGGATGGCCAAGCCACAATCCATTCTCCTCTCAGGATCTTGGGCACACATGCACACGCGCCCGGCCTGAGTTTAAGCTGCCGGGTCCGGGACTCAAACTGCGGTCGACTACATGGGAGTCCAGCAACATAGCCATTACCCTAACTGCTGGTCCCTTTATCTTCTCTTTTTGAAGGGAATTCTCAATTCTAATATCCTATATCACTAAAGTCCTCTCTGCTTCCTCTTCTCAACTGATTCCTCAGGAAGTGAGACTGCTGGAGCCTCACCTAGCAAACCACATGTTGGACCCAGTTCAGGAAGAGAACCACTTGTCTTGACTTGCCAGCTATTATAAGCAAAATAAGGGACACTCATTTTGGAGTCTTTATTTTAATAAGGAGTCCTGCCAGACTGTGTGCCGAGATGTGGGTCACCTGACCTCCCGCCTTGCTTTCCCTATCTGATAAAGCATACCTCATAACCATTTCACTCACACTGTTTCCCTCTTGCCTACATTTTCTCATCTGTACTCATCCCATCAGTATCTGGTCTCAATATATCCTTTCAGGTAGAATGGATACTTCTGGTCAACTAATTGGTCTTATGATCAGTCAGGTCATCAAGAATTTTGCAGGCCAAAAAAGAGTCTTGGCTCACCTTATAGATGGTGGGGTCCTGGTGGTGGGGGGAGGGCTGATGAGTTAAAAATGAGTAGAATAAAAGGTCATACAGGCCTCTGTGGTGGAAGAATGGAAGAGAATTTAGAACTGCATGGAAGTTATTCAATTCAGGCTACTTCCATGCAATTCTAAATTCTCTTCTGTTCTTCCACCAATTCTGTTCCCCAGCTCAACTCAGACTACTTTAATTTTCTTCCAGTCTTCTAACACACTGGAAGAAGAAAAGAGAGACATATTCTTAATGGTGAAAGCCTATGTCCTGACACTGTCTGCTATGCTCAGTCCTTCTCTAACACTACTTCTTGGCATTCCAGAAACAGGAGCAGATGCTAGAGCTTAGCAAGTAGAAGAAGCTTCCTTGGATGTGACCTTCTGCAACGTCAGAGGGTTGTGAACAAGTCTGAGCCCCCTGAGGAACAGCATGTGGTGTGGAACAAGCTGTTGACAGTTCTCAAGGGAAACAAGGGTCACAGTCCCAGCTGCTGCTGTGGCTACCGCTAGAGCCTGTCTGACCCTGTGCACCAGGAGCAAAAGGAAAGGGAGGGGAGAGAGGATAGCAAAAGGAAAGGAAGCAAAAAGAGAAGCATATTCTTAAGGGTAAAAGTCTATGTCTTGACAATGCCCCCTGTGTTCACACCCTCTCTAACACTACTCCCTTGGCACTGAGAAATAGGAGCAGATGCTGGAGCTTAGCAAGTAGAAGGAGGACACTGAGGGATTAGGGCTGGAAGGAGGGATTCTGGGTGGTGGCTGCTCTGCTGGCATACCCTGCTGTCCTGCCAGACTGTGTGCCGAGATGTGGGCAGGAGCTGCTAGAGAGGGTCACGAATCCCCCAGGTGAGCAGATGAGCCAAGGGTCTTTGTGTCCTGACATCAAGAGACATATCCCCCACTTAAACATTTCCCCAGTCAAGGATCCAAATAGTAATTACAAAAGAAAATATAAGAGTTGAGAAGCACATGCCATGGTAGTCCAACAAGAAATCACTACTCACCAAGAAATGTAAATTAAGACAGGATAAAATTTTTCACCTATCAACCTACCCAACGCCTAATAGATGATAACAACTATTACTAGGAGAGGTTTAAGTAAATATAATCTGTTATAAATTTGCTGGTGGTTGCATAAAACAAAATAGTCCTGGTGGTACTTTTTAGTAAGTATCAAAACCCTGAATAGTTTTCAGGGTCCCTTGGTCGCCATCAACCTCAGTAGAATTTGTTCCAAATAACCGATTAAGATTAAACCAATAAATGACCAATAAAGACCAACTAGATTTTTTGGGACACTTATCTTAATCCTCCATATTAGACAACTGAAAATGGTATCTATTCTCTTTAATAAACAGTTTAGAGCCAGGAGTTGGCATGGTGGTTAAGGCACTGTACTCTCACATGGTCAGCCTCAGTTTGGTTCCAGGACCTGGCAGCATGAAAATCACACTGGGCACTTGTGTGTGCATGTCCAAAATCCCAGGAGCAGAAAAAGGAGAAGATATAATGGGATGGCCATCTCATTGTGGGATAATTTCTCACTTTCTCTCTCACTGTCTCTCTCTGTCCCTCTATGGTGAGTGCATGTGCCCTATGGCAAAAACCTTAAAAAAAAAAAAAGTTTCACATTATGTCACCAGCTGAATAAGAAGAGAGTCGATTTAAAACAGCACATGATATATCACCTTAGCAGCCTTTTTATAAAGAGAAGTCCCAAATTTATTCATCTTCTACTCTAGGCCTCAATCTTGGACTTTGTTTTAAATTGTCCTTTCCCAGAAACTCATCACATTCAATTTTTTTATTGCAAAGCCTGATATGATGCATATGACAAATAATTTAGTATGGATTTAATGCATGCTGTATCAGTCAGTACAAAGTAAGATGCAGTAACAAAAATCCCCTAAACTTCTGTGGCTTCTGGTTATAAACCACTGGGTTTTATTTCTTACTAATGCTATATGTCTCACATGGATCAACGGGAAGATGTGCTTTATGTCTTTACACTTAGGGACTCAACCTGCTGGAGGCTTAGTATCTGTTACATTACTGGTTGTCAAGGCAGTGGAAGGGAACCTGGTGGGATATTGCACCAGCAATTAACTTCTACAGCCGGGAATAGATCCCAAGCACTTCCACTAGTCACACATCTTTGATTAAAACAAGGCACGTTTCCATACAAATAATTTCAAAAGTGTAGAGAAGTTGTCCTATTATGTTGGGAAGGAAGAAAGCAGAAACTCAAGTAAATCACCTTCATATTTAATACACTGATCAGGGCCAGGAAGTTTACCTTCCAGTTATCAGACTTATGTATCAGACTGCATAATTCATTCCTGAAATTTTTTGAGTATATTGTGGGGCAAGAGGAAACAAGATGAATCCCATTAACTGGCAACTCATTCAGTGATTAGGTATTGGGTATTTCTGCTCAGGATTATGCTAAGCGGTTGGGAAAATACAAAAATTATAATCAAGATGTTTCCAATTGCTTACATTCTAGTTGAAGGGCTTATACTTGGCTTTTAAAAATTATATACAAAATCTAGGGACCAGCAGTTAGCGTAATGGCTATGTCACTGGTCTCCCATGTAGTCGACCGCAGTTCATGTCCCGGACCCAGTGGCTTAAAACTCACGCCGGGCGTGTGTATGTGTGTGCCCAGGATCCCAAGAGGAGAATGGAGGAGAAGGGATTGCGGCGTGGCCATCCCCCCTGGGGGGTGATTTCTTGCTTTCCGTCTCTCTGACTCTCTCTGTCCGTCTGGCGAGTGCATGCGCCCTATAGCAAAAACCTCTCAAAAAAAATTATATATAAAATCTAGAGGATCCATAATATTGCATGATGACAATATAAGACGATGGATTCATAGCCTGCTTTAGGGTTCGGAATCACTCAAGGAGCTGATATAATGCATATTACAAATAATTTAATATGGATTTAATGCATGTTTAAGTTCCAGCCCAGAAATGTTGAGTCAGAAAGTATTTGGTGAGGGAACCAGCAGTTAGCATAATGGCTATGTTGCTGGACTCTCACGTAGTCAACTGCGGTTCGCGTCCCGGACCCGGTGGCTTAAAACTCACGCTGGGCGCAAAAACCTCTCCAAAAAAAAAAAAGCAAGTATTTGGTGAGATGGTCAAGCATGTGAATTTTGACCAAACTCCATGGTTAGTTCTGAGTCCACTCCAGGTTAAGGACACTTGAAATATGGGAATCCAACATCCATGCTCTTAAAAGGCAAAAGAATGTTACAGATAATAAACACATGTAGGATTTAAGGGAGAAAGAGAACGCTATAGCCCAATAGTTTAAGGGAAGGCTTCAAGGAGGAAGGGAGCCCTGGGTTCTTCAAGGCCAGGACTTGGAGTTAAGCATACACATGTATAATTTATTTTGGAGGGATAAAGAATATTCCAATCTAGTGAGAAGTGAAGTTACAATGATGGTTGGAATCCAAGTTTTCTGAAAAGCCAATATTCAGTTTAGACCAATATCCAAAATCTATAGAAATCCTTTGAATCTGACATAGTTCCTCAGCACTTTGGACAGTGACAGGCACATGGTAAATGCTTCATTATTTGTTGCACTAATTAAATTATTAATTAGTCAATTCTGAATTGAATAACTGAGGATCCAACTTCAAAACTCAAAAAAGGTAATTAATCATTGTTTATGAATAATTTATATCCAGCTACTTCTTTTGTTCTACTTCTTCCAGAGATGAAAACAAGAAGTTATATGGCCCTTTAATTCTTTTTAATAAAATATACGCTCCTCCTTCTTCCATAAAGAATTCCCAAAGCTTACTGAAGTTAGCTTTTACTTGCGATCAACTAAAAGACATGTCACAAAGAGACTAGTGAGCAAAATGTTAAAATCATAATGTTGGAATCCAGTCCTTGCTTTGTCACTTACTAGCTGTGTGACCTTGGATACATTCCTTAACCTCTCTGGAAAGTTAGGATAATATCAAATTTATAAGAATAACTAAAGATTAAGTAATAGCAAGACCACACACCAATTTAGAAAAATCTGGTACAATGGCATGGTTAAGGACAGGACATGGTAACAATGACTTGGAACTGCCCCTGTGACAGATGATGTTACAGTGATCCACATTCAACTGAAGCAGCAAAATGATCCACGTGATATAACTCTGAATATCCAACCACACAGAGGCAAATGACTACAACTTCAGTTGATACTGGATTTTAGATGTTACTAATATATACAACTGCATTAAAAATCCCAGACATTTCACTCTATGTTTAAATTACTTTGTTGATAGACAGAAAAAACTCTCTGCATTTAGTTTTTGCAAATCACAGATGATCTAGCCAACAAACTTTCTTTGCATTGGCCTGACCTGTATTTACAAGGTTTTCTGTTGGCCATTCTACCTCTTTCTCTTCCCAGTCCTGTGCCACCAGCTTAAGCAAACACATGCATCTGCTCACAAGAAACACACTCAGGTCTTTGTCTCTTCCAGGCAAAGAAACAAAACAAACAAGTAAACAAAAAAGGTCGATATGATAAAAATTGAGCCAACCGCAGTTTTTGGCTAAAGGACACCAAACAGGCTAAACTAATTTTAAAAAATCAAAACAGACTTGATGAGATGAATGCACAATTTATTGGATGCTAATCCAATTGAGAGGATTCCTAGCTGGCCACATAAAAGTGATAAAAGCAGTTAGCATTTTTAAGGGTATACTATGTGCCAGGCATTATGCTAAATGTTTTATATGGATTATCCTGTGCTATAGACACAATAACCCAATAATATAGTGCTCTTTTATCCACATTACTTGATGAGGTGGTAGCAACATTGAAAGATGAAGCAATTTGCCTATGGAAACAGCAAATCACTTAAACTCAAGTTATGATACACTGACCTCATTTGTTTTGCATGGCTATTACATCTGAATCACAAGAATGTCATGGGTATTATTTGTCTTGATTATATTGTTATTATTATTACTATTATTAAGAAAGAGAAAAGCAAGGGAAGAAGAGGTAGAGAAAAAGACAGGTAATTTTGGCAAGTTTTCTCCATCTC